GGAAACAAGTTCAACAATCTAGAGGAGATGGACAAATTCCTACAACTCTACAATCACCCAAAGCTAGATAAAGAAGAAATAGAACACCTAAACAGACCAGTTACAAGCAGCAAAATTGAAATGGTAATCAAAAACCTCCCCAAAAACAAAAGCCTAGGACCTGATGGATTTACAAATGAATTCTACCAAACATTCAGAGATGAATTAGTGCCTATCCTTCACAAACTCTTCCAAAAAATTGAGAAGGAAGGGACAATACCAAACACGTTCTATGAAGCCAACATTACACTAATACCAAAACCGAACAAGTACAACACAAAAAAGGAAAACTACAGGCCAATCTCCCTAATGAACACTGATGCAAAAATCCTCAATAAAATTTTAGCTACCAGAATCCAACAATGTATCCATAAGATAATTCACACCATGACCAAGTAGGATTCATTCCAGGGACACAAGGATGGTTTAACATCCAAAAATCAATCAACATTATCCAACACATCAACAAAAAGAAATATAAAAACTGTATGATAATAGCAATAGATGCTGAGAAAGCTTTCAACAAAGTGCAACATCCATTCATGATAAAAGCCCTTGAAATTCTTGGGATACAAGGAACATACCTCAACATCATAAACGCCATCTATGAGAAGCCAACAGCCAGTATCATTCTCAATGGTGAAAAGCTGAAAGCATTTCCATTAAGATCTGGAACAAGACAAGGATGTCCACTCTCACCACTGCTTTTCAATATAATACTGGAAGTCCTAGCCAGAGCAATAAGACAAGAGAAAGACATACACGGAATCCAAATAGGAAAAGAAGAAGTCAAACTAACACTATTTGCAGATGATATGATAATATACATAGAAAACCCCAAAAACTCTACAGAAAAACTAATTCAACTCATCAATCAGTAAAGTGGCAGGATACAAAATCAACATGCAAAAATCAGAGCCTTCCTATACACAAACAACAGATCTGAAGAAGAAGAAAACAAAAAAAAAAAACATTCCTTTTATTATCGAAACAAAAATAATCAAATACTTGGGAATAAATCTAACAAAAGTGGTAAAGGACTTATACAAAGAAAACTATAAAATACTGTTAAAAGAAATAGAAGACACAAAGAAATGGAAAGACATCCCCTGCTCATGGATTGGAAGAATAAACATTATTAAAATGGCCATCCTACCAAAAGCAATATACAGATTCAATGCTATTCCAATCAAAATTTCAATGTCATTCTTCAAAGAAATAGAACAATTATTGATGAAATTCATATGGAATCACCCAAAAAACACGAATAGCCAAAGCTCTCCTGAAAAAAAAAAAAAGAAGGGAATGGAGGCATCACACTCCCAGACTTCAAACTATACTACAAAGCCATAATCATCAAAACTGCATGGTATTGGAACAAGAACAGACACACAGATCAGTGGAATCGAATAGAATATCCAGAAATAAACCCACAGATTTATGGTCAACTAATCTCTGACAAAGGAGCAAAGAATATGCATTGTAGCAAAGAAAGTTTGTTCAATAAATGGTGCTGGGAAAACTGGGTCGCTACATGCAAAAGAATGAAGCTTGACCACTACCTCAAGCCATACACAAAAATCAACTCAAAATGAATTAAAGAACTAAACATAAGACCTGAAACCATAAAATACGTAGAAGGAAATATAGGCAAAACACTACGTGATATGCACATCAAAGACATCTTTACAGACACATCACCCAAAGCAGTGATAGTGAAGGCAAAGATCAACAGCTGGGACTATATCAAATTAAAGAGCTTCTGCACAGCAAAAGAGACAATAACAAAAACAAAGAGAAGCCCCACCGACTGGGAGAACATTTTTGCACACAACACTAATGATAAAGGACTGATCACAAAAATCTACAAAGAGCTGATGAGACTCAACAACAAAGAAAATAATCCAGTCAAAATATGGGCAGAAGAGCTAAAAAGAAACTTCTCTGAAGAGGAAATGCAAATGGCCAACAGGCATATGAAAAAATGTTCAACATCACTTGTAATCAGGAAAATGCAAATCAAAACTACCATGAGATACCATCTTACACCAGTGAGAATGGCACATACATATTAAAAAAACTAGCAACAACAAATGTTGGCGAGGTTGTGGAGAAAAAGGAACTCTCCTGAACTGTTGGTGGGAGTGAAAACTGGTCCAACCACTATGGAGAGCTGTGTGGAGATTTCCTGACCTACTAAACATAGAGCTTCCATATGATCCAGCAATTCCACTCCTAGGTATTTACCCAAAGGACACAGAAACATCAATTCCAAAGAGCACCTGCACCCCTACGTTTATAGCAGCACTGTTTACAATAGCTAAGCTTTGGAAACAACCCAAATGCCCAAAAATAGGTGACTGGATCAAGAAGATGTGGTACATATACACTATGGAATATTACTCAGCATTCAAAAAAGATAAACACATGCAATTTTCAGCAACATGGATGGCGCTGGAAGGGATCATGCTCAGTGAAATAAGCCAGAAAGAAAAAGAAAAATACCATATGGTCTCACTCATAGCAGGAATCTAGAAAACTTAAATAAGGGACCTGGAAAATGAATAACTATAAGAAAGTGAAAATCAAAATCAACAAACAACTATGAATCAGAGACACTCTATGGGGGGTGGGGGGCAGGGACGGGAGGGACAGGGGTCAAAATAAGGGGGTTGCAATTGTATGGGGAATATAAAAATAAAATTTATTTTAAAAAAAGAAAAAATTAAAAAGATGCTGTAGTGGCAGGAAGGGGCGCTAAACAGGTTTTCTAAGATCCAGCAGACCGGGTAAAGGAGGAGTCCTGGAGCCCTCAGGGGTTTTATGCAGGTCTTTTATTGGGATTTACCTGGTTCACAGCAGGCCTTCCAGCCCCCAGCAAGTCTTCACTCTATCTGGGGCGTTCTCAGCTTCTCTCTCGGCTTCTGCTGCTTCTTTCTCGGCTTCTCTTTCGGCTTCTGCTGGCGTCCCCATGACACTGCCCTTAAAAGCCCAGTCTCAGCCCAGGTGAATCCCATCTACCTATGCCCACACCCTATTGCAGGTGCCTGCCATCAGGCATGCATTCAGGACTGCAAGGATCCATCATCTATCCTGATGGCGGGAGGGCAGAAAAGCCTGACATTTTTCCTTACCCTACAGATGCTTAGGTTTTACTTTACAGAAAAAAATCAAGAATTTAGAACTTATATAGTGAGATTCCAGATTAGTGATTCTCAACCTAAGCTGTGTTTTATTTTTTAATTTTTTTTATAGAGGCATGTTTTATTTATTTGTTTGTTTGTTTATACATGCACTGGGTACAGTCAGAAGCACGGGAGGGTGAGAGAATTCACCAGGGCCAGAGCGGGGAGCAGAGCAGGCTGCTGAGGGGAGCAGCGGGTGGCAGGAGAGGTCTGCGCTCCATGTGGGACCCTCCTCTGGTGGCCCGGGAGCAGCCGGGGATCATACCGGCGCCGCAGAGGCCGCGGGCAGCTTCGCAACCCAGCGCTCAACCGCTGCGCCACCGGGGAGGCCCCCTAAGCTGTGTTTTAAACTCAACTGTATTTTGACAAAGGTGCCAGATAATTCAGTTGAGAAAGAATAGTCTTCAGTAAGTGGTGCTGGGATAACTGTAGACCCATGTGCAAAATCATGAAATTTGATTCCTATCTTATAGCATTCACAAAAATTAACCTGAAATAGATTATAAACCTAAATACCAAGAGCTAAAGCTATAACAATCTTAGAACAGAACATAGGAGTAAATTTTTGTGAACTCGGGTTTGGCAATCATGTATTTCCCTCCCAATCTCTAGTCTGTGTGCTTTATGGAGCAAGGAGGAACAAGAAAATCATATAGAACATTAAAATTAAATACATTCAATTTTAAAAACTGTCATTTATTCTGAGATGGATATCTCGTGTCTACCCCACAAACATTTGGTAGTGTTTATACTCTCAGTTTTTTCAGAACACTGTTTTGGGAATCATATAACCCAATTTTTGACCAATAGTTTGCTATGTACCTTCCATTAATAATCTGAAGACATGAACTAAGTGATCATCTTTCTTTTTAGTACTAATACAGGCTGTGGTTATATTTGTATGTACATTGTTTTTAAATGTTAGAGATGTCGGGGTTTTTTTGCATGTATTTGTATGCTACATGTATTTGTGTAAGTCCTATTTTGCAAATTTGGTTATGGAAGATATTATTTTTTCTGATATAGGCTAATATGTAAAAGTTACATTGCATGTGTTATTGTGATGCCACCATCTTGGCAGATGCTCATTCTTCATTTCCTTGAGAGTGTTCAGTATGGAATCTATGCAAGATGACTTAAATTTGCATTTTTCTGCGGCAGAGGATGGTCTTGTTTAAATACAGACACATTACTGATTGCAGAGGGTCCCAGACTCTTTTTGTTAATTGCCATGTGCTTGACACTGGAGTTTTTACATTAAAGTTCAGTTGTTATTATAATGTAGATGAATGATGGCTCCTTGAAGATGCACAAAGCAGATTTCCGATACCTAAATTCATGACAAATTTGTTAACTATCAGGCCTCCCTGGTGGCACAGGGGGTTGAGCGCAGTGCTATGAAGCTGTCCTCAGCCTTTGCAGCACTGTTTGATTCCTGGCCAGCCAGGGAGACTCCCACATGGTGCAGCAGACCTCTCCTGTTGCGCCCGCTGCCCTCTTCAGCAGTATATTTTGGTCGTCTGCCTGTTCTGCTCCCCGCTCTGGCTCTGGCTCTGGTGAATCCTCTCACCCTCCCGCGCCTCTGGCCTGTACCCCAGCTCTTGTATAAAAATAAATAAATCTCATTAAAAAAAGTCTCTGAAAGAGAAACATTTTAAAAATATTTATTAACTATCAGATCTGTTATTTCCTATAAGTACAGGGAAAGGAAATATTAAAACAACTTATACCCATTTGAGAGAAAAAGTTAATGTTCCTAAATTTTTACTTTTCTAGTGAAGGAAGCCCATCCCCCAGAGTGGAGCTGCTGCATAACATCGACCCAAACTTTGTGGATGTCTCACCATGTGAGTGCCTTTTCTTTCCCTCATTACTAAACCAGATCTCATGTGCTTACCAAGAGAGTTTTATCACCTAGTGTGTCTCTAGCCTAGCTTTCTCTTTTTTTCACTTGGGTTTGCCATCAAGGTAAGCAGTTTTCCATGCATCTGTTGTACCGATCTCAGGTGGCCTCAGTGCCACCACGGGTGAATTCTGTTCTGGGCTCTCCCACTCACCAACTGTAGGACCTTAAGCTATTGAACTCTCCTGGCCTCAGCATTCCCATCTTCAAAAGGAGGACCTATGGGATATGAGAGACTCCTTGTCACTGTAGATATGATGTTATTCTTACCTGAGCTCCACAGCCTCCTTCCTGAAAACTCAAAGTCAAATACACCACCACATCTTGTGATGGGGCTGGCCAGGTGCTGCCCAGTTCCTGTTGGGTCTCACAGACAGGACTTTCCTAACAAGCCTGGGGTTCAATTTAGATTGATTCTGCCTATTGCCTAAATTAACCCAGAGAGTGCCCTGCTGATTCCTTCAGGGAAAGAGGTCATTTAGTGCTCTCATTTTGTAACAGTCTAGTGTAAAATCACGCCTGGTTTCCTAATGTCCCTAGCATGGTGAGTCTGTGCCTAGAAAACTCTAATTATTAGGCATGTTGCCCAGGTTGCATCATAATGCTCATCTTGAGTCTCTTTTTATAAAATAGTACTCTCATTCACTTGCTGCTCACATCTCCATTCTAGACATACTCTTACCCCCTTTGTCCAGGCTCTCCTTTCTCCTCTCCAATCTGCGCTACAACCTGTCATGAGATTTCCCTGCTCAGAGCGTGACCCTACGGTAGTCTTCAGTGTGCCCCTGGGAGTTTGAGGCCGGCTCATCGAGTCAGCCTTACTACCCCCAGGCCCTCCTTGCCATCTTCTTGCCCTTTTAGATACTTGCTATTCCAAGCATGCATGTCCTCATATATATTCTTAAATACACTGTTTCCTATGCCAGAAGCATCTGTCTCTCCACAGCTGTTCATTGCTCTTTAAAACCCACCACAAATAGCGCCCCTGTGAAAGCCTTCCAGAAGCCCTGGGAGTAGTAGCCACTCCTCCTTCCCTTTGTTCTGTCTCTATCTTGCACTCCCCAAATTCTCCGTATGTGCCTGCATTGCCACTAAACTGAAACAGCTCTTGGAAATGGTAGTCTAGATCTTACTTACCTTTTATCCTCATCAGTCAACACGAATGCCCAGCCCTTGGTAGGCACTCGATAATGATTAACAGATGGCTGAATGGACATTTGAAAGAGAGTAAAGATGGACCAAGGTGGAAGCGCTAGTCCTGAAAAGGGAAAGGTCCAAAGCAGGCAGGAACGCTAACGTATGGAGAACTTGCTGTTGGGTGAACCTGTGAGAGGTGGTAAGGGTAGTAATATGTCCAGGATGGTAGCCAATGGCTGTATGTGGTGATTGAGCATTTAAAACGCCACTAATTGTAAATTGAGGTACAATGTAAGTATAAAATACACACCAGACTTTGAAGATTTAGAATGAAAATATAAAATATAGCATATTTTTATTGTTGAATGGGAAATAATTTGGATATATTGAGTTAAATATATTATTAATATTAATTTCATTTCTTTTTTATGTGGCTAATAGAAATCTTAAACTTATGTCAGCTGCCTTGTATCTCTATTGGTCTAGATGGATTGTTCTAGAAGGTGCTAGGAAATGAGTTGATCAGCTGTATCAGGGGGTTACAGATCCCCTTAGTTACCGAAGGGCTACTACATCATTGGTTCTTAAACATTTCTCTGTCCCAACACATCTAAAGGATATGATATTTTCCAGTCTGTAACTGGTTCACGAGACCAGGAGTCAGTCATGTCAGAGTCTCTAAGGGTGGCTAGATCAGAATAGAGGGGAGGCAAGAGTGGTTTTTAAAACTTTTGAATAATCTAATGCACTACAGAACCCAATATAACATAAAGGGACATGCTGAATATGTTGCCCACATTATAAAAGAAATGAACTGACCTCATCCTCTAAGTTCCACCTACAAGTGAAAAGCCTTAAGCACCCTTCACTCACTAAGCTGTATTTTGTCTTGGCATCAGAAGTGGGTATGAGAACTATATTCCAGTATAACACAGCCACAGTGCTGCTTGCTGCAGGGTTCTCAGTTTAACCTGCTGTGATCTTTTCCACCTTCCCTAAAGTACCCCACAAGGAAAATAGCCACACCAGCAAAGGGTTTTCTCTGGTATAAAAAGTTAGTAAAAGCACAGAAGTCAGAAAAGAGAATTGTCTTAATTTTGCCACCCTTAATCTATCAGGTCTTGAGCAATTCCCTTCCCTTTTCTTAGTGTCAGTTTCCTACATAGTAAAAAGGGACTTACTAAGATCTTTACTGCTGCCACAAATTCAGGCACTGTGCACCTGAATTTGTGGCAGCAGTGGCACAATTTGTGGCACCTTCTGGCTTCTGTGCTCCTTCCTGATCCTTGAAGCCCACTCCAAAACTTCTTGTTGGCTCTCTCCCGGCAGCTTGGGACTCTTATTCTGATTCCTATATGTGATGTGAGACCTTGGGAGACCACAGTATGGCCACTGAACCACATTGACTGTTGGTCCACAAAGACAGGGCATTCTCTCCTGTGTGTGACTGCAGGTGGTGAGGTGCCACCCTCCTGCTCACACACGGGCAGCACCTGCTCAGGTTAGTGTTCATGTCAGTCCACTGTGCAGCAGACGTTGGAAAAAGGAGAGCCATTTTGGGGGTCTACTTGTTTCCTTTCTCTGTGTGATTAATTTGTGGGGGAAAAGTAAAAATCAGTATTTATTGGATAACCAAGTCTGCAAATCATAGTCATAAAATGTTCTATGAGTATGTCATAGAAACCATCATGGAATAAAACCAGAAAGCCACTGTTATCACAGAAACATTTCTTTGATTTCTAACACCAGCACTTACCTGATTATTTATTCATCTTTATGGGAGAAGAGGGTGGTGTTCTACTCCACCTTTCCAAAAGCCATTTCATCAGTGTCCTCATGTGTGAAGACTGAATGAAATGAGCTCTAGGGGCCCTTCCAGCATCAACATTCTGTGGGTGTCTACATTAATAGGGCCTCAAAAGAAAACTGCTTATCATAGTTTCTCTCCTTTCTCACCCTTCTAGAAATGGCACACAGATTAATACACAGAGAAGTAGCGAAGCATGGTTGTAAATAGACAAATACAAGTGCAAAATGTTGGAAACATTATAAGTACTAGAGTAACTTGAATTATTATGTGATTTTGCTATTGCTGCATCCTGACCATGTTTCTGATCCCTGTTCTAAAACAACACAACCTCTATCCCCCTTTTTCATCTGCTCTCTCTCCTCTAGTGGGTCTGCTGGGATTGTGGACCAGTTTCTTCTCTATTATGAATTATAGGGATAAGCAGTAGATGTTTCTGGGGAAGCCCTGCCTTCTGAATAGCACTAGGTCCTTTCAGAGGCCAGCCCCTCTGGATTTTAGCAGCTATCCCATGCCCTTCTAGTCTAAGAGTTTAGGGCACCACCCATAAGCCTTTTCTATTGGTGGAGTTAGGTATCTTTTCTTGGCCATATACCCTTGATGGGTTGTGGCTAGGGTACTAATGGTAAAAACCCAAAGGATGGTATACACAAATACACCCCAGAGGACATAGGATCTGCCATAGACCTGGAGATTCTGCTGTAAAACATAAAAAGGTTTCAAAGAATTATATGGTTCACATCCATTAATATGGCTACAGGAAGGGAGGGAGGGAGGCAACTGTTGGTGAGTTTATTATTCAAATAATAATAGAATCGTGTAATCCAGTGATGAAGGCTGGGAGCATGATAACTTGATTTTTGTTTATGTTTCTCAAGGTCTTTTGTGACTGCATGCAAATTTTAGGATTTTTTCGTTCTAATTCTGTGAAAAATGCATTGGTATCTTATTAAGGATTGTACTAAATCTGTATATTGCTTTAGGGAAAAGGGCCATTTTGATAATATTGATTCTTCCACCTCTTGAGCATGGAATATCTTCCATTTTTTTGTGTACTCTTCAGTTTCTTTCAATAGTGTCATATAGTTTTCAGTGTTTAGGTCCTTCACTTTCTTGGTTAAATTTATTCATAGGTATTTTGTTCTTTTTGAGGTGATAGTGGTATTGTTTTCATCATTTCTCTTTTTGCTAGTTCACTGTTTTGTTATAGAAATGCAACTGATTTTTTATGTATTTATTTTGTAGCCTGCAACTTTACTGTATTTATTTATTATTTTAAACATTTTTTGGTGTAGTCTTTAATGTTTTCTATATATATTATAATGTCATCTGCATAAAGTCACAGTTTTACTTCTTCCTTTCCAATCCAGATACCTTTTATTTCTTCCCTAATTGCTTTGGCAAGGACTTCCAATGCTATGTTAAACAGTAGTGGTGAGAGTGGACAGCCTTCTCTCATTCCTGATCTTGAGGAAAAGCTGTCAGCTTCTCCCCATTAAATATGATGTTAACTATGTCTTTGTCATATATGGCCTTTATTGCCTTTAGTTATGTTCCTTCTATACACATTTTAAATCTTTCTAATTTGCTGTCATACCCCAAAGCATAACACAGGGTCTTCCATCATAGTAAGTTCTCAGTAAATATTTATTAATGCATGATGAATAGATCATTGTCATATTGTCTCAGCCTTTCCTGAACCTAAAAATATCTCAAGACGACAATTCACCCTCTCCTCTTAACTCCTGAAGCTGCATTTTATATTTTGTGCCTAAGTAAAAATATCTTAATAAACACAAGTCACAGCTTAATTTTTTTTAAAGATTTATTTATTTATTTATATAAGCACTGGGTACAGTCAGAAGCGTGGGAGGGTGAGAGAATTCACCAGAGACAGAGAGGGGAATAGAACAGGCAGACCGACAAAATACACTGCTGAGGGAGCAGTGGGTGCGGCAGGAGAGGTCTATTGCACCATGTGGGACCCTCGCCGGGGGCAG